ACTAGTTCAGAGCGTCAGCTCTGCTGTAAACCAAGTTGGTAGGAGAGCTGTCATGAGGGAGAAGAAGCTAGAGAAAAAAAGGCAGGCAGGTGCCCTCCAGAGGAAGGAGGGAAGGGGTAGGAGATGGTCCCACTGAGATCTGGATGACTGTCAGTTTTCTCATGTGAGGCTTTGCTACAAACATGGCTAGGAACCAGACTAGTGCAGCCTCTTCACTGATTCAGCAGTGGGGGAGTAGCTTTGACAGCTTATGGCAAATAGCAGCTTTCTTAGACTTGGTTTGGAGTGTGTGAAAGGTAATGTGTTGGCAAGGCTGTAGATCTAGTCAGATCACGCTCTGGGCACTTTTCTTCTGTTCTTTTAGGGGAAAAAATGTGTGTGTATTTCTCTGTCTAGCACTTTTTTCCTCTTCATTCCTGTAAGCAGAATTGTAAGGCTCATATTTCTGAGAGTCCACTAATCAGTTGAGTTCCCATCTGGTTATACTCTTTCTGTATTGATCTTGATTGGTGCACTCCTCAGGCACTGGCAAGCTTAAATGTCAGCAGTGGGAGTAGTCCCAGCATGACTTCCAGCTTGTCAAGAAGTTCTTTCTTCTAGTTGTCTGTGTTTCTGGTTTCCCAAAGTGGGAATACAAACAGGATCTTCAGTGTGTTGCTGTTAGATACAGGACAATTTAGGTCGGAAGGGACCTCGGGAGATGTCAGGTTCAACTGCCTGCCCAAACCGGAGTCAGCTCTGAGGTTGGAGCAGGTTGCTTAGGGTTTTATCCCATTTGGTCTTGAAAACCTCCAAAAATGGAGACTGGATGGAACATATAGTACCACTGTTAATGGGTGACTTAAACTCAGTCATGTTTTACATTCTTCAGTGTTTCTAGAAAAGAGAAATGGTCTGATAAGGGGTTTGCTATCAGTGCTTGGCATCTCATGGCTTTTCGTTCCCAGATTTTGTGAATAGGGAAACTAAGACTGAAACCGTTTAAAGAAAACATTGTTTGGCCTGAGACTTTAAGTTCTTGACTTGCTCTTTCAATAAAATTGTGTAACACTTAAGATCTTTACTTTTTGGAAGAGGTCATAAGAGAAAATACAAGTTGTCTAACATTCAGGTATGCTTTGGCCTTGGAAATTTAATAAATTTCTCAAGCTTTACAATTTGAATGAGTAGATTATATGCCCTCCCCCCTGCCCTGCCTCCTGAAATCATAAGAAACTTAAGAAGCGTGGATTAGAACACTTACTCTTTGAAAAAGAAGCAGCCATTCTTCTTAGCACTTAGCACTTAGTTCAACAGTGAGTGGTTTTTTACAAACTTTACATGAATAATTAGTACTATCCCCGTTACATAATAGTTTATATGTTACATTTTCAGCATTAATTTCAGTTTGTATGTTTTTTTGCGGGAAGTTCAGGGTGTGTTTTTTCTGTGGTTTGATTCGTCTTTCAGTTGTTGGTTAAATTGCAAAAGTCTATAAGAATAAAAGAAAAGTTATTACTTAACGTTCAAAGTTGTTTCTTCAAGATTGTACAGTGATATTCACTATTTAATAATCCTAAGAAACATGTTCTAGAAAGGGGCATGTCTTATATTGTCAGGACGAGAGAATGCAATGTCAGAAGCTCTTGTCTCTCCCTATAACCACAGTCTTTAAGGAAAGACCAGCAAAAGGTGTTGAGTTTGTGTTATTTTCCTTATTTTATTCCTTATTTTTTATTTATTTCAAAACTACTTTGAAGAGTTTTATATTTTTGTTAGAGACACATTGGTTTAATAATAATTTTCATCTAATTCTACATAACATCATGTATGTCTAAAATGGAAAATTATGAATACTTTATGTTATTGACCTACACATTAATGCTTTTCTTTCAGATCTTGTTTGACCAAACCCAAAGATCAATTAAAGCACAGCTTCAGTCTTTCGTTAAAGAGTAAGTTAATTTACACTTGTAATGGGAAAATTATAGATAAAATAGAATTTTAAAGCATCTGATTTGAGTGGGTTGGTGAAACAGCTTTCCTGAAAATTGTCAGCCATAAATTAAGAAATGCACATGAAACCTTGTCCAAAATCATCCCAATCAGAGAGGCTTTAGATCCAGCTGCAGAAACATTGGAATAGTATCAATTACTGATCCTAATTACGTGTGATTGTCTAAGCTTAGGGAAAAATGCTTTCCAAAGCGTTTCCCCAGTGAACATGAGATGCATTTATTTAAATTTCAATTTTGTCCTTACCTCAGAAGAGAAAGACAGAGAAGCTTCTATCATACTTTGTATGATTTCCATTTGATTCAAGCATTTATTGAAGAATACGAAAACCAAGAAAGTGGCTATAACAGTCATGAGCACAGTCTGTCTAGTGTGTCTTTAAACACTACTTTTTCGTGCTTTGGAATTCATTTGTTATCCATCTTTCCTTTTTCTTTAGTGATATTAGGAAATTTAAAGATGCAAAGAAACAGTTTGAAAAAGTTAGTGAAGAAAAAGAGAATGCTCTTGTAAAAAATGCCCAAGTTCAAAGAAATAAGCAACACGAAGTAGAAGAAGCAACCAATATTTTGACCGCAACACGGAAATGTTTTCGACACATAGCTCTAGATTATGTTCTTCAGGTAAGTGCAGCAATAAAAGTTACTTTTCAGAACCATCTATTACATACAGTTAGAGATCTGTCCTTATAGAAGTTCTTACTGTAAGCTTCTCAGAAGCTGTGGAGCTTCAGTGAAAAAGGAATAACTTTGTCTGCAAGTGATTTTCTTTTTTAATGAAATCTGAGCAATATTAATTTACCTGATGTATTCTTAATACTTCAGTACTCAGTGCTGTTGCTGTAATGACACAGTTTAATTTTCAACTTTAACACTAATTTTGAGAAAACAGTATTTGCCTTATGCTTACCCAAGTGTATTGTGTGCGTTGGCTATGCTGTAGTTCTTTGTATATTTGAAGTAGAAACTGTAACCTAGCGTAGGAAATACAAATTACCTAAGTGATTTTGATACAGGATGCTGGTTACTGTTACAATTTCAGCTGTTTGCTTTGGGTTTTATTTAACAAACCCTACTTGTCTTTAAGCCGCGGAGTTTGGCATTGTACCGTAGGGGCAATCAAGAACATAACTACTCTTTTGCTTTTTAGTCCGGATCTCCTATAGGCTGTTGAGAGGTGTTCTTTGTCCTGCTGCTTTGAATCCTGTGAAATAATAATAAATCGTTTGTTGATACGTAACAATTCATCTGTTTCATAGTTACCCACAACTACAGCGAAACAGGATTATTCCAACTTGGAGTATATGAGGGGTTGGGGGCTCCTAAATGAATCTGGGGTTCTCCTGTGATCAAACACCGAACAACCCTTTTAAAATTATGTTGGCTTTATATTGGGCCTTATCATCTGGATTTGTGACAGTCCAGTCAGTTATTTAAAACTTAGTTACCTGTTCTCTAAATTGCATGTATTATCTGTTCAGTGAAATGGAAGTGATCTGATCAGCCCAGGCACGTGCACAGATACGGCGGTCGGTGATCAACACTGAACTCCTGCCGTTTGAATACCAAGGACAAAGTTCATTTTGATGTTTAAAAAGCCATGTGAATTAACTACTGCTTGATTATTCGTGCTAACATCCAATACTAGAGGGAGGAGGAAGCTGGCAGCCAATACTATGGGCCAGTTCCTTGTGTGTGCATTGAACTGCAGATTGTTTGCCTCCTGGAATTCCTGTGTTCCAAGTATGAGCAGTTCATGTCATAAAGATGCATTTAATGTAACAGAGAAAAGTTTCAGCATCACTTAATTAGTGTGGGCAAAAATGAATTCAGCTTTAAGAGTTCTTTCTACTTGGGTGACTCTTTTCTTCTGGCAAAGGGGCTTCGCAGCTGTGGTCTCTTTGTAGCTATATTGGCTTTAAACTTTAGTTCAAAACTTCTGCTTTACTTTTTTTTTTGCTTTGCAACTTGAGGGTTTGTTCTATACAAACGAATCTTAATTATTTTTGCTGCAGGAGGTTTTCCAAAATATTGACTATTTAAGTATAGAAGTACAGTCTGGTTTTGATTATAGCTTCAGTAAGTTTATTTCTTTTGCTGGAATTTTAAACTGACATAGAGGTGTTAAATTGCAAACTCATGCATGTTTCTGCTAAGTAGGGCTTTTAAAGTATAATATGTAGTTCTGGATGACAGCCTTAAAGATTAGGGGACAAAGAGGATAGAAGAACTAGGTGAATATGAAAAATCAGTTATTTTTTCTATCTAGTGTGAAATTCTTCCAGTTCCAGGGCAACACCATTGATCAGTGACTTCAGTTAGCTTGAAAGTGCAAGTATATGTGAAAAGTTACTTCTCAAAGCTCTTGTGATCTTGTTTCAGAGGCTGGGACTATATCCCAGTTTTGGGACACTATAGACAACGTCAGCCCAAGGGGAAAAATAAATGTGCCCCCCTTCCTTTGCTCTCCCCTGGCAGGAGATGGCAGTGGTGCTGAGTGCAGCTTCTTTGAAAAGCTGGGTTAGCTCATGCTGTCAGAAACAATAACTGAAACATGTTGAATTCAGTCTCTTGAAAATGGGTACCAATTTTCCATGCTTGAAAGGTATATTATATTCTAGCTAGCACGTGATGTCTTATTTTCTCTTCTAATATAAGCAAGTTGTGACTCACTGTGAAATTCTAGCTTCACAAGCCTTGTCTGATTGTATCACTTTAATACCGTTATAAAACTAGCATGCATCTTCTAAAAGAAGTGCTTTATGAACTCTGATACTGAGTCGTGTTCTTCCAATGTTTTAAGCTTTGATATGATTATTTGGAAGTAACTTGAAGTTTACTTCTGTGGGGAAAATTTCCAAGTAGAATAAAATTAATTGCTGCTTTTTTTTTTTCTAGATCAACGTTCTTCAGTCTAAAAGGAGAGCAGAAATCTTAAAATCGGTAGGATATACTGTATTTTCTGTATATAAAATATTTAAATACATCTGAAATTAAAAATAGGACTGCAAAGCAGTATATTAAAAATATAGTCCTTTTACCCATCAAAACATTATCAGTGTGTTTGGCACTTTGGTGACAGTTTGGCCTTTACTATAACTGGGCATAGATGCTTCACTGTTTTTGGCAATCCATTTGGTTCAGATTTGAACACTTAAAAAGTTTTCACTCCTTCTTTTATGTGTTTCATATGGGTTTCATGGTTAAAATTGAACTTTGTCTGCCAAGAATTCTGCTGTTTAGGTCTACTATATTTATAAACAATAAGTACTTACAATCTATTCTAAGATGGATTCAACTCTTTCTACAAAAATGATATTTTTTATGTAAATAGCATATTGTAATAACAAATATACAATATGCTTTAGTATGGTATCTGCTAAATTAATATACAGCTATGTCTGCATGCTAGTTTTCTTCTTTTTGTATTCTGTTTTCTGCTTCACATTATCTCTGTAAAAAGTTTGTTGAGGTACAGAGTGCCAAATTAAATGGTGCTCTTCCTTCAAAGGTCTAAAGTTGTGCTCCCATAAATTCCTTAATTACTTTAAATAGCAAAAACTTCAGTTGGATTACAGCTTTATAGCTGCTTGCCACTCTGCTCTGCATCTTCCTGACTTGTTTTCTTTACACAGGACAGTCTTCTCTGCTATGTTCATAAAGGTTATGGGTTTGGATCATTACTAAATATATTCTGTAGCTGCTGTCTCATTTACATGTCCTAGCTAAATGGGAGATAACAAAAATTTCAGGTGACATGAATTAGAAATGATTTTCTGCCCTTAAACAGGTTTGTTTTGTTTTGTTAATGGGGTTAATCCTATTAACTAATTTCTGAGACTTCTCACTCAATGTTTTTCTGCCTTTACCTTTCGTGTTTATTTACAACATTGGAAGCTCTGTGAGATATTGATGTAAATCTGCCAGGACACAAGGGGGCAGGAATTAACCCTGGAATTGTATTTTAAGTTTGTTCATGTGGATTAGTTAAGTGATATATTTATGTGATATCTGATAAATATACTTTTAAAAAATACTTTTTTTTTTCCCTTCTAGATGTTATCATTTATGTATGCCCATCTGGCTTTTTTCCATCAAGGCTATGATCTTTTTAGTGAACTTGAGCCCTACATGAAAGATCTTGGTGCACAGGTAACAAATTACTTTAAAAATTCATAACTATATGCTGGAATGGATGAAAACTTGATATATGCATATATATCAGGTACATCATAGATTTATTCAACAAAAAGGGAACCGTAGTGTGGTAAAGACAAAGCATAAAAATATATTGTAAGTGGTTTGAGTGAAAATAGTTAGAAACTGAAAGTTGTCCGTTTACTAAAATTAGTACTGCCTTTAGGATTTACGTGCTTAAACATAGCCATGTAGTGCCGTTCGAGGTACTTTATGATACTCGGGACACTGGATTATTTTGTTTCAAAAATTTTTGTATATGACCAGTGTGATAGATAGATAGATATAACAACTAGATTAAGTCTTTATCCTTCTACTTGTATACATTATTTGCTGTATGAATTATACACTGTGCCTAAAAGAACATTGATGTTAATGGCTTAGACCATAAACCAGAAGTCTGATTTTCAGTTGGTGCAAAACTGAGTTCATATATTGAATCCTTCTTGCCTAGTTCCGTTGTTTGTTTAAGAACATACAATTGCAACTTCTGGGTTTTCGGTGAGGGGACTCATGAAAAGGTTAAATGGACCACAGCCAACTGCACACAGGCGACACTGAAAATGGTTATGCAAAATAAATTAAAACATACAATATTCAACTGAAGGTATGTCTGTGGTGCAGGAAGAAAACACAGCAGTGTCTTGACTTGTTTTCAGTGAAAGCTGAATGGGCCTGGAAATAGTTTACAACGACACTTTTTTCTTTTTCTTTTGCCTCTATCCAAGGACTTGCAACAACCGCACCGATGCAAAACCCTCTATTGCCACTTCCCAACCTGATCCACAAAACAAAGACAACCCAAATTCTATTTATTTGCATTCATCTGAGTAGATGTGTCATTGAATGTCTAAGAAATGACATTGTTTCGAGCTGGTTATTCCTGCCACAGCACTGCTGTCATTTGTGCCTCTCAACTTGCTTTTGTGTCTATGCAGTGAAGCAGGTTGGGAACTGTAGAAAATAACTCCAACAATCAAATGTCTAAATAGTTATTTTTCTGCTAGACTAGTCCCCAGTCAGGTTACTGTGAGCCTTAATTACTTGCATAAACACACGTCAGGGAGGCATGTGTGTGTGGCAAGCAAGCGATGGAGCTGAGAGGCTGCTTGAGCTGGCCCTGCTGTCAAGATGGGAAGTGACTGTACAGCTACAGCCCTCTGTGCTTGATGTAATAGCGGCACTCAAAAGGTTCAGGTGCACATGACTGTCCTTAGTTGTGCCTCTAATTCTTTCACAACCTTCCATTTTGAGTTATAATTGTTGAACTGTGGTGTTTTGGTAGTATAGAGTGTGTGTCCCGTACCTCTGCGGAAGGGTATGGGGAAAGAAGACAAAAACTGTGGAGTTGGTAGGGGTTATGCTACCAGCTGGGCTTTCATGTTTCCGTTTCATTGAGATTGTTTGAGCAAGGAACACAAGGTTGTATTTGAATGGCTGGTCATCCTTTTGCTTGATCTGGTAAGGAGCATTGTGTAACATTCATTTTGGTGCTGGTATCATAGCAACTGAAGGAGTTAAATTTAGAAAATCCGAAGCTGAGAATGTTTAAAATGTATTGCAATTAGAGCAAAGATAGACTGAAGACCCTGAAGTTGTACAACTTGCTGAATTATTCTTTTGTGGCCAACCTTGGCATTTAAGCAACGAGTATTTCTTCATGACAGAAGCAGACTCGTAAATAGCTTATGGAAGTATAACAGTTAATAGCTTTGCAGCTTGCATTGGTTGAAGCTTCTGCCTTTAACGGGTCAGAGAGAAGGTATGTTGTGACATAACAAAACAGAGATTTACTAGATTTTTTTTTTTTTTTTCCTGAAAATACTGTCAGATTCTTTCTGTTGGTGAGTTTTCATTCCCAGGTAAATTTTGTGAATGATCTTAACTACAAGGTTTATCAACACCTGAAGTATTAAAATGTAAGTGATCTTAAATAGTATAGTTATACTCTTGTTTATTTTGTTTTGCATCTTCAGAGTAACCGTTTTACGTGACAGAATAGGATTGAGGAATTTTGCTTTCTGGATATTTTAGGTCAGGGTAGGATTACTTGTGAATCAGATCATTGTAGGGGAATCTTTAATGGCACACCAGTGTAATATAAGCTTTTGCATGGAAGTTATGGCATTTGGCACTTGTCATGTGAAATGTGGTATTAGTTTAAAAAGAAAACCTACTTGAATTTTTGTTCCGAGATGACTATTCAAAAAGCTAAACATTTTAGTCTGACTTACTTCTCAACAGAATGACGCTTCTAGCATTGTATGTTTATAAAAATACCTAAATTTTTTAAGACCACCCAGTAGTGGTATAATGGCTGGGATTTTGATAGTTTGGTTGTTTGATTGGCTACAGCTCTTGATAGTTGTATGCTGTTGGTCTCTTTTGTTTAAGTTGATGTGCTGCTCACTGGAGCGAAAAGAAATTCTGGTCTGAGCTTGGAAACTGGAATGATGCAGGGCTGTCTTGATAGTAAAAAAATAAATGATGAAATGACCTGCTGTGAAGAACTTTGTTTTGGCACTTATGCTGTGGTAAATGTATCCTCAAACACTTGTATTTAGAATAAATTACAGGTAATTGTCCTAACATAAAGTGGCTACCTTCTGTTTCATCTAACAGGGCAGAAGGAAGACTTTCTTGGGGGCCATGTGTCGATTCCTGAATCTGAGGTTATAACAAGAAATTTGATTCCCTTAAAGTCCTGAACCACTCTTGGAGCAGTTCTCGTCTTTATCACAAAAGAATGGGTTTCCTGGGGTTCTTGTGCAAAACAGTCTTTGAGCACAATGGCAGCCCAGTCTCTGTTTTAGAGGCTCTTCCATCATTTTTAAGTCATCTGGCTACATAAACACAATGTCTGGACACTTCAGTCTTTAACATGTTCATGCTCACAAATACCAGTAAAGTGTGAAAGTGCTCGTATAGCCATTTGAGACAGAGAAGAAACCAGAGAGAGAAGAGTTAAGTGACAGAGTATGGAATTGGATCCAGATGTCCCAACTGTCCGATAGCTCCTTAATTGTTGGAGACTGTCTAATACAAGGGTGTAAGAGCCAGTTATTGTCCCTTTTTTGTCTCATTTATATCATTTCAAGCAGAGGAAATACAACCCTGGGGAAAATGACCAGAGTTGGCAGGGGCCTTTGCTTGTGGTTGTGAGGGTGAGTGGAGGTGACCCCATCTGTGTATGAATCGAGGTTCAGTTAGTCACACTGTGGCCTCTGCCACGTGACTGACTTCAGCTGGAAAACTGGTGTTGCACACTGTTCCTCGTCTCCTCCTCCGAGGCCTGGAGTAGGATGAGGTCTGTCCCACAGATGTAAAGCTGCAGGCTGTACTGCTCTGTTCAGTCTGGCATCTGCGTGGTTATTCGGCAAGATGCTGCGACTGGGGTTAGCGGCAGTCTTGCATTACAGGCTGGATCGTAGAATCATAGAATCATATTGGTTGGAAAAGACCTTTAAGATCCTAAAGTCCAACCATTATCCTAACACTACCAAGCCCACTACTAAACCATGTCCCTAAGCACCACAGCAGATTCCATAGTGTGTCACATAAGCACCAAGATAACTGGCCTTTCAGGCAGCATCTGCTCCTCCACTTTACCGTATTTCTTATTTAAACATCAAAGTCTAAAAACAAACAAACAAAACCCACAAAAAACCACCCCAAACTTACTGTCTTACAGGATATCTTAAATTTCCTGCCTTTTTTTTTCCTGGTTTTAAAAGGAAAAAGTTTATATGGTAGTGCTATAGACATGCTTGCAGCAATTTTTTTGTAATATCTTTTTTTGTTACCACAGACTTTGTAAGGATGCTACCTTAAATCCTCTCTGTGACAGTCTCTTCTTTGCAGAATCATGTTGTTGTTATTTCTGAAACTAAAAACAGTTAGAGTGGTTCTTCCTAAGATTTCAAGGACTCTTGCTCAAATACTGCTGATGAGTTGATCAAAGCTATCGATACAGAAGCCTGGTTGAGGCAGTTCCCCTGCTTTGTGGAGGGGAAAAATCTCTAGCATTTGCTCCGTCTAGTTTTTGCTGCTAGTGCCAGTGCTGCTGCATAGGCCAGTCAGCCAGCAGGAGCAGCTAAAGCATGAGTCATTCTCTTCGGAGCCCGAGCACCAATGCGGTACAGAGTCGCATATGCTTGGCACCATGCTGTTCTTTGAAACATTTCTTCTAAGGCTTACAAGAAATGTACACCTCTCGTAGAGGTTAATTCAGGATGGTAGTGCAGTGCTTTAAACGAGGCTTCAGTGGTTATTCAAGGTAAACACTCTGTGACCAGAGAAGTAATTATACTATGCAAATAAACCAAAAGTTGTGCAATGTCTAGACATAATGTGTTCTTTTTTGTCAGCATGATGAAATCTACTGAGCCAAATTTCTCTTGATATCTAAAGATCCCATTTTCTGTTTCTCTTTACAGCTGGATCAGTTGGCTGTAGATGCTGCAAAGGAGAAGAGAGATATGGAGCAAAAGCACTCCACTATTCAACAAAAGGTACTTGAGAGAATGTAAAAGGCAGACTGCACACACATTTTTGTGCCTCTAGCATCTCTCCCCAGCAATGCCTCTGCATCATACCTGTGAGGGATGGTATCTCTAGTGCAGGGAAACAGACTTGCACATCATTAAGCATAGGGTTGGACTGCAGATACTAATTTTGTATTATAGAACAGCATATTATGTTTATATTTGACTGAAACATAAATAGAACAGTAGAATTTACTTGAATGCTGGACTCTTTTGTTAAACTATCAATATCTATTGCATCTTGGAT